AGAAAGGGGGCTGTGGGTGAAGCTGTGGATCTTTCAGTGTCGGTTCAGGATCCTTCCTGCAGTTTCCCTCCTCCTTTACACCCGTTTAAGCCACGTCCTGGTCACAACAGCAGAAATCCAGTCGACTCGAGCGCTGCTTTGCCCTCCTTTAATCTCCGCTTTACACTGCACCAGCCTTCTCAGTTTTGACGACATAAAACCCAACGTCTCTGTTATTTACCCACAGCACTGACTGCAGCATCTCCGATACCGAAGCATAAAAAGACATGGAGGTGCAGGGCCAGGGGCTTTCGGGGGGAACGTAGCAGCCCACAGCCCCGTTGGTATTTTCAATTGCTACCAGACGTGCTGGGGGCTGACCCCACACTTGGCACTTAGTCTCTCCTAAAACTGCAGGATTGGGCCCAATAACCACAATGAAATCAAACCATGAACCGAATGCCGGTCTTTTCCCCCCTCTCTGGACAAGTCGTCGGAGCTCTGTATCAGAGAAGGAGGCTTAAGAGAGTGACCAAAGCGAGGGCCCCATCCTGACGCCATTTCCAAAGCTCAACTCCGAAAGGCTGGAATGGGGGTAGCGGCCCAGCCCAGCTCCACAACTGGTACAAATGGGCGTTGGGTTGCTCCATTCCCACCATCGGTGCTAATTCACGCCCAGGAAAGCCCTGGCCCCCACCGCCCCGTGTCGCTCCCTCCCTAAACAGCGCTGCGAGGGAAACAAAGGTCTGGGGAAACGGCAAGCACAGCTCCTGCCAGTGCTAAGGGGAGGCGTGGAGGACAGACCACCCCTCATTCCCACTCCGGTCCTCCCCCAAAAGGACAATTTTATCAGCCGTTTGGGTTTTTAAGAGTCTGATTTGAGTTGGTGTGAAGTTTCTTTGCTTTAAGCCGTGCCGGACCCGCCGGCACTCTGGTCCTTGCTTTATCGCAGGGGATCGCCGAGCCTGGGTGACTACAGCGAAGGTTTGGGTTTTTTCCAGCAGACTTCAAAAAAAAAAGAGCTGGAGCAAGGCTCCAGGACGGAGCAAGTCCCCGGGTCTGCCTGCCCTGCGGTCGTTGCAGCTACGATACGGGAGCCGGCGGAGGTATTGCTAACACTTTCATGGGAACAGCACAGAGCTCGGGGAGAAATAACTGCCCAGGAGTTTACTCTGCTTCTCCGGCAGGTTTCCCACGACTATACCAGCTTAAGATGACCTCGGCGATGCCAACACACGCCGCGAGCAAAGTCACTCCAACACACGGGCAGGTCTTCAAGGCTACTTTAAAAGCGTTTTGGCTGAGGGCCCAATCCTGCACTTCCTAAGCACCCAAAATTCCCTTCAGCTTGACCGTTTTCCTCGCTCTGGAAAGACGACCGGGCACTCAGGAAGACTTTGCTCGTTTGCCCTTTTTGCGAGACCGCAAACTCCCCAAGCTGGAATTCAGCGCAGAGAGGTCAAGCCAAGAGCCGGGATTCTTCGCAGGGCTGTTTGCAAACACTTGGGATTTTTATACTGAAGGCAAATTCCATTTCCCATCCTGCGGTTTGCAAATTTGAGGCGAGCTGCCTTTTTTGAGATGGGAGACTGCCTTCGAAAAGCAAAGTGCCCGTTGTATACAGCTGATTTTTGGCTGGTTGGACATTGCAAAGAGGACATTAAGTCCTTAGGCTAAAAATACAAGGGAAGATCTGGGCCTCACCGTATCACTAGGATCCTTCCCACTCCACTTGCAGTCGGGTGCGGATTTTTCCCCAAAAAAGCTGTGGTGCCCCAAATCCACAGACACTTCACGCAGGCTGAATTTTGAATTTGATGGGGTTAATCCTATACGTAAAAGCTAGATTGTGGAGCAGAGCATAAGTTTCTCGTAAGAGTGCCCTCGTAAGAGAAATATTAGCAGGCAACAAGGGATTGTCCGGATCAACTTTAATGCAGCCTGAAAACGAGCTAAAGCATGTTCTGTCCCTGGAACACCTCTCAGAGGAAAAGAGAAATCCCCACTGCGCATAAAATGTAGAGATTGTTGTATATAAGAAATAAGGATTGCTGCAAATACTGAAGTACTATGTTACGACTCAAGAAACAGGTAGAGAGATATCGGGTATCAGCCTTTGTAATATTCCAGTGAGCACAAAAACTATTTGTAGGATACACGGATATAAATTTGTCCCCAGTGCAAACTTCTCAAGTAACAAAAGTTTACTGCCTTGCCATCAGGAAAATTTCCTTCCTTCATGATACCCGAACTACTACACATCCCCTGGTGCTGCGGTTAATCGATAGATACCGAACGGTCCTGTTCTTTCCTCGGCACTTTTGTTCGAAACCTGAAATAGATGGGAAGGGCTCTGTACCACAGATGTGCAACCGATCGAGCGCGGCGGCTCCCCGTATCCTATTCTTTTATTTTATTTGAGCTAAAGCGGCGGTGGAAACAGCTTAACGATTGCACAGCAGATTTCCCCCCCCGCACACACACACACACACTCCCAAGTCTGCCTCATCTGCAACTGATTTCTGCCCGTGGCAATATTCTCATCCTCCCGGCATCAGTCACCGGGGGGTGGGGGTAAGAAGAGAATAGAAGGGAGAGGAAAAGAGGCGGAAAATCTGGTGCTGATCAGCGGCGGAGAAAAAAGCGGCAGGTCCGCTCGGGTTTTTTTGGGGGGGAGGCACAAAGCCGAGGGGTCCGAGGGGTACTCACCACCCAGGCGACGGCGGGCACATCCCATGGGGTCCGGGGCCGCG